GCCCCACCTACCTCACAGGGTGTCTGTTGTGGAGAGGGGAAGGGAAAGGCGTTTGTAAACCACTCTGAGTGAAGGGCAGGGTATAAATCCAATCTCTTCTCTTCTTGTTCTTAATAAACTCCTTTAACCAAAGTTTTTGAGCATAATCAAGTAAAATACAGCAAAATTAAGCATTAAAATAAAAATACAAAATTTTACCAAGAATAAAATAAATTGATACTAAACATAAGAAAGCCTTAAAGAAACCACTGTTGTCCAAAAATCTGGCAACAGAACAAGTTATTAATAGCCCTATATCTGCCAGCAAAAAGAGACCATCCAAGGTTCAACAATAAGTTGATATTTGTTCAGAACAGGTATAATCAAAAAATCTTGAAATAAAACCGATGGAAATACAAAAGAAGATGATCAGTGGTCTCAGTGAAGAACAGTAGCACCTGGCTGTTTTAACTCTGGGCCAACACAGCTACCCTCTGAAACAATCTGGAGTTTCAGCAAAGGCCCTCTTAATTCTGCAGTCACGTGACATTCCGTATGTTATGGAGTCACTGTCTAGCTCTGCAAAAGTTAGTCGGCCTCACTTCCTCATCTGTCAGATAGTAATAATTGTGGCCTTCCTTGCCTAGCTGTTGTGAAAGCAATAGTAATAATATACACCTTTTTTCTGGGGGAACATGCCAGAACAGAGTTCCGGAACCTCTTTGACAAAATTCTTTTTAAAACATTTAAAAGTTCATGAGTTCTTAGTGTACAGACTGAAAACATCATTTCCCTCTTCAGAGTTCCAGCACCTCTAAAAAAAAATGCCCTGATAATAAATAAGGACTGCTATAGAGATCCACTGTGGTTTAGTGGTTAAGTGTGGGACTTGAATCTGGGAAAGCCAGGTTGAAATCCCCATTCTGCCACAGAAGCTTGCTGGGTGACTTTGGGCCAATCACACACCCTCAGCCTAACCTATCTCACAAGGTAGTTGTGAGGATTAAAATGGAGGAGAGGAGAAAGAGGCAGCTGCTTTGGGTCCCCATTGAGGAGCAAGGTGGGATATAAATAAAGTAAATAAGTACAATGGTGCTCAGTCACCACTGTCTTTTGATCACAATTTGTTGCAAACCTCACCAAAAATCCATTGTTTTGGAATTCTCAAATTACATTCAAAATATTCCATGAATGTACATTCTCACACTGCTTCCCCCATTCTTCATACATCACTTCAGTTGTGTGCTTTTTTAAAATCGGTGTAGAAGAAAACGTTTCTGTTCTGCTTGTACCGGGGAATTGTGTGCCTTGTCTCTATTATAGCCTTGCTCATTTTGCCTGATTGACTCAGTGTTCATTGGGTCTGGATTGCAATTACTTTGATAAACTGTTCCCTCCCAGCCCTACCTGTATATCCAACACATCAGACATGGAGGGGGGGGGATCTCAGTTTATGAAAGCAGGTTTTCCCATGGTTATCACCATCCTGCTGTGGGGGAGGGGGCAAAGCTGCATAGCTTGTCTCTAGAAGAAGAAGAGGAGGAGGAGATAGGATTTATACCCCGCAAGTGGAGGAGTGGGGAATCAAACCCGGTTCTCCCAGATTAGAGTCTGTGCACTTATCCACGACACCAAACTGACTCTAGTGTCTGGCCTGACTCCTAAAGCTGAACATGTTCATTTTCATCAATACTAACAGGATGTAGGCATTTTTGCACGGCTGCCTGGGAACTGTCCAGTCAGTTCTGAGCCCGTGACACCATTGGCTACACCACACATATTCTCTAACCTAGCTGATATTAAATGGTGCCCGTGATGATCCAGGGGCACATGTAATACAACCAAACCAGTAGACGGTGAGCACGTGTCAGCAGCAGCTACCCAGCCAATCATCATTTTGGAAACTGCCATCAGACAAAAGCAGAACGGCTTTAAATGCTACTTATTTTTAATCGTGAGCAAATCATTGAGTTGAGTCATATAGGGTATTCAGCTCAACACAAAACAGCAAGCAAGGAAAGTTTAAATGACAGTCACATTTTTTCCAGCATCTTTGGATGTGATGGAACCTTGTGTGACACCGTAGCATGAAAGGTAGGGGATCAAGGACTAGTTTCTCTAGTAGCAGTAACCTTGTAGCAACAGAATTACTGGAATGTGGTGCCACCCCTACCTGTACCCCAGACAACTGATCCAGAAGGATACCAGGTCAGTGGTGTTAAAAGATGCTGACTGAGATGCTTGTTAATAAGGCGCTTACTTCAGTTGAGCCACCCTCACTATACCTTTGGAGTCTCATCTGTCACTGTTTTTATTTTCAAATGTAGATCAACCTTCCCTCTTGCTTTTTCAAAAGCAGATAGAAGCTCTGTCCTTTACTTTCTTACATTTTACAAAAGAATCCTTCTCAAATCCGATTCTTTTTTTTTGGGTGGTGGGCAGTGGTGTCCTCTATGGGTTTTGAATATTTCTTGGGGAATGTAGCAGCTGGTAATGTTTTCAGATCTGTAGATATTCACATATCAAGTTGTATATCCAATATCAATAAAAGAACAGGCTCAAATCTTGACCTTGCCAGGGCCTTGCTAAGTCAGCTAAGAGCTTCCAGCATTATTACTGGAGAAGCAAGTTAATGCAGCTGCAAAAAGGCTTTCTTCCAACTCAACCTAGCCCAGGGGTGTCAAACTCTGTTATGAGGGCCAGATCTGACATAAATGAGACCTTGTTGGGCCGGGCCATGTGTGTCATAAAATGTAATGCCAGGTAGCGCAGATATAAACTTTATAAAGGACACAGACAAACACAATTAAAGATTTTTAAACTTTAAATAAAACATGCTTAAAACACTAGCACTCTTGCAATATTTTGTCTATTTAATAGTCTCTGATAACTGACACTGAATTATTGCATCAAAATGTCTGTGCAGTAGCAATCCTGAGTATGCTGTTCAGGTGTGTATCTGTAAGCTGCAAACCTACTTTTGATTTATTGACATTTATTACAGAAATCTCATGCTCAGTATTCCTAGACTAGGACCCAGGGAAAAATATGAAATGGCAACCATTGCAACCTTTTGCTACATAAGTTGCTTCATGTGCTGGTCAAGAACATAAGAAGGCATCCTAACACAGGCTGAAGGCCATGTGTATACAAAATTATACTCTTCCCCAAAGAAATAACTACAACTTCCTACAAAACTTGGTCTGGACATACACTCTCAGTCTAATCCACCTCACTGGCTTGTTGTTATTCCTCCTCTAAAATAGTTCACATTGCTTACTGAGAAAGACTGGATCATGAGGGCATGAATACAGTGAAAATGGGGAGGGAACCCAGTTGTACCCAGGCATAAAAAGCCCAACAAAACACACACACACACTGTAGCAAGGCACACACAAACTCATACCTTGAACAAAACTTTGTTGGTCTTAAAGGTGCTTGGTATTTCTCCCGTGTAATTGAGGCAGCGCAGCAAAGCAAACTCTCCCCCATTCCTTCCCTCCCTTCAGGGAGGAGCTTCAGCCAGTGGAAGGGAAGAAAGGCTTCCTTCCCTTTTCTCTTGCAGTCTGGCCTGGAAGCAAGCTCTGGCTGTTCCCTCCCTTCCCTAGGAGGAGGAGGGGGAGGAGCCTCAGCCAGTTCTTTACTAGACTCTCTTAATCGCACATGAGAGCCTTGCCTATCTATCTCTCCTGTGCGATTGAGAGAGACTGGTAAAGCAAGCTGTAACATGGCGGCGGCAGCAGAACTGCAAATGGAAGTAGGAATCAGCCAGGGCCTTGTGGGCCTGATTGGGGCCTTCCGAGGGCCTGATCCGGCCCGTGGGCCACATTTTTGACACCCCTGACCTAGCCCATAAGCTGGACCTTTACTTTGATTTAGTGGCTTTGGCCACCTGGAGGCATGCCACAGAAATATTGAGACTAGACTACTGTAATGCAGTATACACTTGTCTCACATCAAAATCAGTTTGGAAACTGCAGATGGTGCAGAATGCCACAGCTTGGTTATTATTGGGAGCTAGATGGAGCACTCATTATTCCTATGATCCCATCCTGCAGGCACTTCACTGGCTGCCCACCAGTTACTTGGCTCAATTTAAGGTATTAGCTATCACAAATGCATCTCCCCTTTTGCTCTACCCTGAAAGCTTTGTTCATCAGAACAGGGTCTTCAGCAGGTGCCAACCAGCAAATGGGCAAAATCAACAACTGCCCGTATACATGCTTTCTCCGTTGTGGCCCCCACCTTGTAGAATGGCCTGCCTGAGGCAGTAAGTAAGGAGAGCTCCCACTCTCCTGACTTTCCTCAACTATGCAAAACTGAACTGTTTAAGAGGGCTTTTTTATGTAGACAATAAAGTTGCACTATACTAAACGTTTCACCAAGTTAATTGGATAAATTATGAGGGACTGTGGTCTACATTTTTGTGTATGGCTTGCTGAAACTAGGATCATTTAATGTGTCATATTAATACTTTGCTTCAGTTCTGTTTTTAGACTTCTGGTTGGTTCTACAAACCTAATTCCTATTGCATTGTTCACTCAATGTCCCATCCTGTTGATTGTATTGACTCGCTACGTAGTCCGTCTTGAGTCCAAGTGAGAAAGGCAGGCTATAAGTAATGTAAATAATGTATTTTAAAAATGAATAAATCATAAACATTCCCAAACATTATGCATTGCATTAAAAAGACACATATAGTACTACATATCTGTTTTACCACAGTTGATCAGATCTTATTTATATTTATCATTTTACCCATGTTTATATTTTATACTCGTATTGAAAATTATATTTCTTGTATAAACTGAAAGTTGGAATATAAATTTCCTAAACAATAGTTTTCTGCTAGCACTTCAGAATATTAATAGAACTACAGTGCCTTCAGATACAATTCTCAGTCATAATTGTTTCATTAATTGAACTACTATCCCGCTGTATTTTCTGAGGCACTGTATTTTCAAAAGTTCGTATTTGTAAACTTGTATAAGACTCACTGTACTTTCCCCATTTTAATTTAGGCATTGGGGATGGAGGGAACGAATTAGGAATGGGAAAAGTAAAAGAAGTTGTGAAGAAGTACATTCAAAATGGAGATGTTATTGCTTGTGATGTGGAAGCAGATTTTGCAGTTGCAGCAGGTAAGTCCTGGAACAAACCAAAATGGAACACTTAGAGGAGACATCATGTGATGGTTGACAGACACATCTTAAAAATCCTCCAGTGCACTTCATATCGCAAACATGACATTGGTAGATATGCATTAGGTGAGAATGAAACCTACCAGAGCAGCATGATCCTGGGGAAACAATTCACTAATCTGGACATTTTCGGAAAGAATATTTGCACAGCCCACTTCCCCCTTTTTGTTTTGTTAAATATGAGGTTTTTTGTTTCTCATGGAATCCCTGAAATATGGATTAGGAAGAAGTGGGCCATTGTCAGCTTGATCAACATTTATTTATTTATTTATTTGGTTCAATTTCTATGCCACCCTTTAGCTGTAAGGGGGTACAAACTATTTTTTGGAAGGGTGGCATGACTACTAGAGAATCCTTATAAATTTGGAACTGTGCTGTTCTTTTTCTAAGCTAGATGTTTTCCTTCCCTACTTCTTCTCATTTGCTTATTTTTCTGTGCTTAGAAATAAACTTTTCAAATTGTATCTTCAACTTTGAGAGGTTTTCTGTGTTATCTTCCTCCACAAATTTACCACTTAGTTCACTTTACTGGGAATGGGAAAATGGAATGAATGTACCACCTAGCATTCCTGAATATAATATTAGATCAGTCTCAAGTCTAAATTGTTACCATTTATTGTTTTTACTGTTTTTGCAACTGGAGTCATAAACAGCAAACCCTCATCCCACAATAAACCCCATTCCACAGGAAAACATGGAAGAATTTAAAGGTTGCTACTGCAGAAGTTGTCATGTGATTTGACAACAGCAGCTAGAAAATTTTGCCACATGCAGAGTAGTTTGTTTGTCTTCATCTCTAAGTAACCAGGATAATTTTGCTTTTGGAGAGAGGGTAATGATTAAATAAAGGGGAGATCAGTTAATCTCTTAGAGCTGAAAATTTGGGACTATCAAGCAAAATATGATCCACAGCGCTCCACCCAGGTTTCCCATAACTCCGGGTGAGCGGAGTTGAACTCAGGAAGATGTCCCGGAGCGGCAGCAATGACCCTGGAAGCGATGCAAGGCGCAGAGGGCTGGTGCTCATTGCGTGGTGCTGGTGCCAGAGTCAGTGCTGGAGGTCGGGTCAGGCTTGATCATCGGGATCCCATCCTCATCGCCAGTGAAATATACTGGTTTCAGACGTGTATGTGTAGGGAGTGATTAGCTCATGTTTATTAAGTGGTTTCAGCTCAAAACTAAGACAAACTTGCAAGGTCAGAGTCCTGCTTATATTCATGAAACACCCCACACCCAACACACACCCCACATCCCACGATAGGCTATTTACAGAGTATTGTTTACCAATTGGCTGCTACTAGGATCCGGATCGATCTCTTGGTTCATTCTAGGACCCAGGCCTTCTATTGTGATGCACTCCAAGCTGCGCTATTTCGCATGTTTGCTAGCGAGCCCTTTCGCAAGTATGGTTCCATCGCGATACATAACAGAGTCCATTTTACTGCTGCCTCAGTTACAGAGTCAATCTGAGTATAAAATCCCATTAAATTGTTACAAGCACTGTTTGCAAAGAAAGTGAAGTTCAGCAAATAGATTTTCTTGCACTATGATAATATTCTTATGTTATAGGTACTTGGCTATCTTTTTAAAAACACAGTCCAGGCATGGGAAAACAATTTCTGATTGTTTAATTTCTGATCTCTTGTTAAGATTATGCCTTTGCTTAGGAACTAATTTCTCAGATCAGAAAAGCTGTACATAGCTCTGGACTCGAATTCAGTTTAGCTGAATATTCAAATTATCACTTTAGATCAGAAAATTCAATAGTTAAAATTAAGCAGACTATTCAATAGCATGCAATGTTTTAATATCAGATTTTTCTTCTGAAAAATAACTTTCCAACAGTTTTTCTAATGTATGGGAAAAGATGCATCTTTTAAATTTCTTCTCATTATGCAGCTGTTAGACACATTGAATCTCTGCTAGAAAAAATGTTGGCAACCCTCTTCTTCATGTACTGTTTGACAACTCATTGTTCAAACCACAGAAAAATTTAAAACTTTAGTTTTTCATTTTATGGCATTTTTCTCTTTTAGGGGTTTCTAACTGGGGAGGCTATGCTGTTGCTTGTGCGTTGTATATCCTGAATACCTGTGAAGTACATGATCGCTATTTGAGGAAAGCTATTGGATTCTCCAGATTGTCTGAGAAAGTGAGCTGGGCATCAGCACTTCCATCTGTGGTTAAGGTATTCCTTTTGAAGAGTATTATGGGATCATGGGACACTGAAACGTACCCCATCTAGATCGCAATTTTTAATATTATCAAGGACCTCAGGCGTTTGTGATTGTGGGATAGCCATGAGAAATATGGTTCTTTAAGTGCCTCAGGCCCAAGAACGAATGAAAGTAAATAAAGTAAATAAAACATCACAAAGGGGAGAGCAAATGTTGGAAGTCACCAAAACTTTTCTTCAGGCTGGATGTTTAAAAAAAGAGGGCAAAGAAGGTGTTATGTGCACTTAATTAGGTTAAATTGTGGTAGGTGTGAAAAACGTCAGGTGTACAAAAGGGTACTTGAGCAAAGATACAGTTGTAGGTATAGTAAAAAAATAAGATAAAAACCATCAGTAATTCAAATATGACTCATATCACTATGTAGCATGGGTACCTGTAATTTCTGTCTCCCCAAATATTCAGAGGTTTATGAGAGACTTGAAACACCTCTACATTTGTTCCTATATTCAACAAAGAAGCAAATTGAATTTTGCATTTAGGTACCCTGATTTTAAAGGAAGTTCCTTGCTTTAAGGGGGTGTCTGTTACACCACAGTATACCTCTATAGAAGTACAAAATAAAGTTGAAAAGAACAAAAAGCCATTGGTACACTTTCCAAAAACTGAGCACAACACCTTACAATCTGCCTCTGCAATTTGCAGACAGTGGGCCTCCAAGAGAAAGAATCTACTTTTTTAAAGGTAAGAGCAAGCACTCATTCAGTGAACCAACCCTAGGAAGCTAATTGGGTGTCTACACCAGATGTCACCCAACAAGCCTTTCTCTGGGAGTATTCCAGAAGAAATGCTGGGGATGGAGGATCATCCAGTTTATATATGAGAAACAAACCATTCCAAGTTGCCGCTTATAAGCATCAGAACTGAAATCATGAGATTGATCAGTCATAACTTTGTCCACCTAACTTGCATCTGACTAATTTTTACATCTCTGTTCCAGGATTCTGTAGAGACTTTTACGCTTCTAATTTAAAAACATCATCTAATTTTCAGCCTAAATCTGACATATTGATGCTTTTGAGTTCTTTAGTTTAACTAGTTATTTCTGTTGTATTGGTATTTCTGTTGTATTGGTAGAGTCTGTTGTTTTCTCTCCCTCTTTTTTCTCCTAGCAAAGCTGGCCTTGCTCTTTTAATCTCTGCCCATACATTCTCCATTACTATCTAGTTCTGCTCAGGGTTGGAACCAGGCCCGTAGCTAATGTGGGGCCCACGGGGCCCGGCCTCCTAGCATTTCTTCCGGGCCCCCTCCTTTCCGGGCTGGCCCCAAATTGAATTAATGTTATTATTAGCTTTGATTTAATTAGCTGTACCCCCCGAGGCCCCCTCACCCCAAAATCCCTAGCTACAGGGCTGGTTGGAACTCATCTAGCTTTGTCTGTGGTGATCAAAACTGGTTCTTTCTTTTTTTCCAGAAGGAGGCTCACCACTATCTTGAGAAAAATCCTCCTGTTTTTTAAAAATAAAAGTAAAATAAAATAGCACACGGCTGTTTAAAAAACACAATATTTTACAACGTACTTGAGTTCCCCTTGGTGAAAAAAGATTACTGACCAAGAACCTCTTCCTTCAACAAACTGGCAACAACTGTCAAATGTTCCCTCTAAGCTGTGAAGTCTTGTGAGCAAAAACTTTACTTTGTGAGCTACTGGCATTAAACTTGTGAGCAAGCGATTTGGCTACTGCATAAATTAGTTTGCTCTGGTGCCATCCTTCCTGAGCTAAGACAAAAATGTGTGAGCCGGAGACCAAAAAATTGTGAGCTGGCTCACACTAACTCAGCTTAGAGGGAACACTGCAACTGTCATAAATCAGGCTACAAAATATGACTATTCTTTCCTAGGGACAAACTAGATGTTATGGTAGCTCAACCAATAAGTTAGAATGCAGACTGTGCTGAACTCCTGTGAAGAAGGACAGGGAAAACCATTTAACATCAGGAGTAAGTTCTTATTCTCAAACCAATCTCTCTCATTGCTTTTCTCCTGGTTTATTTCTTTTAAAGCCTCGCCAGAAAAAATGGCTACAGGAAATTGATTTTGAGGGTGGAAAATGTGGACAAGGGAAAGATTCAGCCATTTCTTCCAACCCGTTCTGCACCTTAAATCATCCCCATTTCGTACATGGGACTGCTGCCACTATTTCTGCTTTTCCTCTCAACCTTTGTTTCTAATATGCTGCTTCTCCATGAACCAATGTGGTGTAGTGGTTAAGAGTGGCAGGCTCTAATCTGGAGAACCAGGTTTGATTCCTCACTCCTCCACATGAAACCTGCTGGGTGACCTTGGGTCTTAGGCCAGTCACAATTGTCTCAGAACTTTCTCAACCTCACCTACCTGTCTGGGGAGAGGAAGGGAAGGAGATTGTAAGATACTTTGAGACTCCTTAAGGAAGCAAAAAGCAGGGTATAAAAACCTACTCTTCGGCTGTGGTCACACACACTAAATAATCCACTTTCAATCTACTTTCAATGCAATTTCCAACCGGATTTTTACTGTGTGAACTGGCAAAATCCAAGTTGAAAGTGCATTGAAAGTGGATTATTTAGTGTATGTGACCGAAGCCTTCTTCTTCTTGTAATAACTAGGCAAATTAAAAACATATTTTTTCTGTGAATTAGAATAAACAGTTCTAAGATTTCACTAAGTTCCCCTCCTCATTTGCAGTATCAGTCTATCACAGTACAATAGTATCTTTTCCCTTTGATTATATTTCAGAAGGTAAATCTGACATTTGTTGTAGTAGTGGTGCTTGATAGATGAGATTAATGTTGAGAATGATTTTGCTTAATAGAACCTGCAGTGAGACATAGAAGGACATGTTAAACTGCTCGTATGCACCTTAGAGACCAACAACATTTTGGTGCCATAAACTTTAAGGAGTCAAAGCTCCTTTTGTTTCTGATGTTTCCAAATTCTGAAGTCTGAGGTGTTTTCCCTGAATCATTTTAAAATAGTTTGAAAGCAAGAAATTGCAAGTAGATAAATAGGTACCGCTACAGTGGGAAGGTAACAGCATTCCGTGCGCCACAGAGAAGTCTTCTGACAGCGCTGGCTCTTTGGCTTGGAAACAGAGATGAGCACTGCCCCCAGAGTCAGATTTGACTGGCTTTCGAGCAAGGGAAACCTTTACTTTAGTAAAATGGGAGAGAGAGGTCTTTCAAGTGCACATGAACCACATGCAATAGCTGCTCTCAGTTGTCACAGACTTTAGCTCCTGATGAGAAGAAGCCAGAAATCCTTGGCTTGTGCACTTCCTCCCTTCTCCCTCCTCTTAGCTACCGCCCCAAGACCGAATACTTGCTGGTTTAGGAAATCCACCCAGCTCTACCATATTGATAAATTGTGATTAAATTGATGATTTCCTAAGGCTAGAGAGAAGAGCAGAAGACTAGCAACATTCAGTCTGATTGTCCTGAAGAAGTATCATGTAACACTGCCAAATCACAATACCACTATTTCATGAAGATCAGTTGGAAGAAATTGCTGGGACAGCTAAAATCTTTCCTTCCCAATTGGTCTTGATGCTACTCCCCCTTTTGATATTGTGCTTCTGTTCTGCCTTCTCATTCTGACTAGAGTTCTCTGCCCTCCAGCTTGTTTTGTGTCTGTCTTGCTGCTTCCATTAGTCCTTCATCATCCCCCACCCTTGCTTTCAGACTTGTCTTGTTTAACATCCTAGCTTGCCTTTGACATTATCTCTGTGCTCCAGTTTGACCTTCCCTTTCCCTTACATAAAGCAGACCACCATGATTGTTTCCTCATTGTTAGGAAACATTAGAAGCATTTGAGGGAGAAAGTCGGTCGTTGTGGCATTGGAACACCTGACATTGAAGTAATGAGGTCTCTGCTCTGTAAACAACATTAGTATGAAAGATATTCTAGTTTAATATTTATTTAATGAGGGGTTGCAAAGAACAACGGTTTCTCACAGATGGATCCCTCAGTTGCCTTTTATATGTCTGTCAAGCTTTCTTAGTAATTAGATAATGGAAAGACACTTTAAAGTTTCAGTCAAAAAATCTTAAAGTTAATGTGAGCGACTCTCTAGAGAGAGAGAAAATTAAAATTTCCATGACGTGATGGCTTTTACTGTGAACTCCAGCAATAAAAGCTGAATAAATTTCCATTAAAGACAATTTTTTAAAAGGAACAAAAACTGCATTCAAGTTTGTAGAATTTATGAAAAGTTTATGTCCAAATGCAGGTGTGTTTCATACTCTAGCTAAGTGGCCATTTAAGGTAAAGGCCATGTTCCATGTATTCTGATAACATAAGAGAAGCACTGCTGGATCAGACCAGTGGGCCATCTAGTTCAGCACTGTGCTTCACACAGCGGCCAACCACTTGCCACGGTGGTTCATCAGGCAGGGCATAGAGGCCAAGGCCTTCCTCTGATTTGTCTCTCAGCTTTGGTATCCAGAGGTTTGTTGCCTCGGACTGTAGTAGCCATTGAGGGATCTCCTTTCCATGAATTTCTGTAATCCAGTTTTAAAGCTATCTATGCCATGCGGCCAGCACTCTGTTCATTGGTTGTAAATCCCACAATATGTAGAAGTTCTTCCTTTCACCAACCCAAATCTGTTGTCCATCAATTTAATTGAGTACCCACAAGTTCTACCATTATCAAATAAGGAAAAAAGCTCTCTCTAAAGGGATCAGTGGGATTAAGACTTGATGTTTGTTTAAGATGATTAGAAGATCTCTCTTGGGTTTTTAGTTAGTAGTGGGTATCTTTCTTTTATCCCATAAATGTAGTCCCCCCTCCCATTTTCTGTTGTGGTTTTTGTATTATAAATAAAAAAATCCCCTTCAGGGGCTATAAAAAAAAGAAAAAGAAAATGAGGATTATCCCAGTGTAGCCGTCCCCCCCCAAGCAATAGCAGTTTTACAGGTGCATGCCCTCTTGGTATCTGAGAGGCAGAGTGTGGAGTGTTCTGTGAGCAGCGGCTCAAA